CAGCGCGTGCGAGATGGGCGGGCAGCGGCAGCCCGCGCTGGCGCTGCTGAGCGAGATGCGGGGGGCGAAGCTGGAGCCCGACGTCGTCTTCTCTACAATGCAGGGGCCCGCGCGTGCGGGAAGGGTCCCTGTCTTGATCGCCTGGAAATACCCCACAACGGCTCCGGGGGCGCCCCAGAGGCGCTCGCGCGGCCCAAGAGGCGCCCAGGACGGCCCCAGACACCCCCCAAAACGGCCCAAGAGCGCTCCAAGAGAGCTCAAGACCGCCGAAAACGGCCCCGACAAGGCCCAGGAGGCTTCCACGACGGCCCCAGAGACGCCCGAGAGGCGTCCCAGGATGGCACCCGTAGGCCCCAATCATTTTTTGTTATATATATATAAATAATATTAGTATTACTATATACATAAAAAAGAAAAACGTCCAATTCTAGCATGCACTGCTTGTCGGGTATATGGCGCCGAAGATGGGAGAAGAGGTTCCCGCGACCGCCCCCGGCGGCCCCAAGAAACTCCCAGGAGGCGCACAGGACGGCCCCAGACACCCCCAAGACGGCCCAAGAGCGCTCCAACAGAGCCCAAGACCGCCGAAAACAAACCCAAGCCGGCCCAGGAGGCCTCCACGACGGCCCCAGAGACGCCCAAGGGGCGTCCAAGGATGGCCCCCAGAGGCGAAAATTATTGTTTCCCCGACGAAAGACGATCAATTTTAGCATGCGCTGCTTGTCGGGGCTATGGCGCAGAAGCTGGTTCCATGTTCCCACGACCGCCCCAAGACGGCCCAAGAGGCCCCCAACGCGCACAAACAACCGGCCCGAGAGGGCGTCGAGAGAGCCCGAGAGGCGCCCAACACGGCCCCAGGGCGACGCCAGGAGGCTCCCAGGACGGCCCAAGGTATCCCCACGACGCTCCAAGAGCGCTCCACGACAAGCCACGACTGCCTTTCGCGGCGCCAAGACGGCCCAAGACGCTTCTACGACGGCCCCAGAGACGCCGAAGAGGCTTCCCAGGAGGGCCCCAGGACGCCCCAACAGGGCCGAAGAGACCCGCAAGACCGCCGCAGGACGGCCCAACAGGCCTCCAAGCGCGTCCCCAGACGGCCCAGGGAGCCCCAAGATGGCCCAAGAGGCGCCCAAGACGGCCCCAGAGGACCCCGAGCCCCAGGCCCAAGACGGGGGCCAAAGAACGGGGAATAACCTTGACACTGTGAGCCCTGGCCCCCATGCGCCCACACAAGGCCCCAAGGCCCCCCCCCAAAAAAAAGGGAACGCCAAGAGGTCGCCAGAGGCCCACAAGAAGTCCACAGCAGGCCCCACGAGGCCCCAAGACGGCCCCAAGTGGCCCCATAAGGGGTTCAACGGAGCGTCCAAGAGGCCCCCTAGAGGCCCCCGACAAGGCCCAAGAGGCCTTGAAGAGCTTCCACCAGTCCTCCAAAACATGCCCCCAGAGGCCAAACCATTTTTTGTTGTTTTTGAAGGAGTTCTGCCTTCTCGCCTACTCGGCTAGCCGACGCTCCAAGACGGCCGAAGAGACCGCCCCAGGACGGCCCAACAGGCCTCCAAGCGCGTCCCCAGACGGCCCAGGGCGCCCCAAGATGGCCCAATAGGCGCCCGAGACGGCCCCAGAGGACCCTGAGCCAGGCCCAAGACGGGTCCAAAGAACGGGGAAAAACCTCGACATTCCGAGCCCTGGGCCCCCATGCGCCCGCACAAGGCCCCAAGACCCCCACAAAAAATGGAACGCCACAAGGTCCCCAGAGGCCCCCAAGGAGCCCGCAGCAAGCCCCACGAGGCCCCAAGACGGCCCCCGAGGGGCCCCAAAGCTGCCTCCACGATGGGCCCCAGAGGCTTCTGAGCCATGGCCCAGGCACAGGCGCGGGCGTGCTTCCACTGACGCCGCCTACACCGCGTTCCCGCCTTCAGGCCTGCTTCCCTGCGTCTCTCGCCCGCCTCCACCTCCGGCGGCCGCCACCTCCATCCACGCCGCCCCTTCCACCCGCCCCTTGCCCGCGAGGCCGCGGAAACGCTTCTCTTCCACGTCTACGCCATGGCGGGCATATTCCGCGGCCGGAAGGCCGCGGGTCAGCCCTAGTCGGCCACGGCGCTGGGATCAGCGCGTGCGAGGGGGGCGAGCCGTGGCAGCGGGCGCGGGCGCTGCCGAGCGAGACGCGGGAGGCGTAGCTGGAGCCCGACGTCATTTCTACGACGTTGCAGGGCCCCGCGCGTGCGAGGGGGGCGAGCGGTGGCAGCCGGCGCTGGCGCTGTTGAGCGAGATGCGGGGGGCGAAGGTTGAGCCCGACGTCGTGTCTATCATAACGCAGCGTTCAACGCTCTGCGAGGTAAGACCACGCTGCGCAGCAACATCATGGCGGTCTTTGCCTGGCTGCCCACGCCCCCGGATGACGAGCCACCTGTGCCGCAGAATCGCTGCGAGCTGGAGAAGGCAAAGGAGCTGGCTCACAGGTGGATCAAGTCCGAGAACGTGCGCCCGGGAAGAACGCGGT